AGACTAACCTAGGTAATTATGCTCTTGTGACATGGGGTGAACCTACTGCAAATGAGCCTCCAAGATTCAAGGCTTGTTTTTTTCTTTTGCTGCCCAAATTAGGGGATTCTTGAGAGGCTGTAGACTTATTATTGGCATTTATGGAGCCCACCTAAGTGGATATTTCAAGGGAATCTTGTTAACTGCAATTGGGATTGATGGGAAAAATGAGATTTTTCTCATTGCCTATGGAGTGGTTGGTTCTGAGAGTATTGACAGCTGGGGTTATTTTCTGAAGAATTTGAAATACCTTTTTGAGAAGGAAGGGTGCAGGAGAGATGATTGGACCTTCATCTCTGACAGAATGAAGGTAAGCCACCTGGAAACTAGTTTATTATTTACTGTTTTGTTTTTTCAAATCTCAGCCATTAAACTATTTTCTTTGTAGGGTGTTGACACATCAATTCATGAAAAATTCCCCACAGCAACTAGAAGAGTATGTTTCTAGAACTTGTACATGAACTGCAAGACCAATGGATTCGGTGGTTCAGCCTTTCATACGCTTTTATGGATAGCAGTTGATGCATACAACGAGTATGTATTAAATAAAGCAATGCAGAAGATACATGAGTACAATCCTAAGGTTGTTGCATACTTAGAGAGCTGCACTGAGATCTGGTCAAGACATAAGTTTGATCCTGCACACTGTTGTGATCATAACATAACAAATTTTGTAGACCATTTCAACTCATGCACAAAGCCCTATAGAGATCTACCTGCTTTGAAACTACTTGAAGGTATTCAGTGCCACCCATTAAATGTTGTAAATACTTGCATTAACACAAGTGCCCTGTATTCTTTTGTTTTACAATTTTTGTGCATGCTATTGTTTTGCTATAAGGCGGTGGGGCATGAAGAGGATTGGCTCAAGGTTTGACAAAGCTATAGGGATGGGGGATATGGAGCTGACTGAAAATGCAGCTAAGATTCTACAAAGAAGATCAGATGAGTCTAGGTTGTGCTATGCATTCCCATGTGGTGGTGATGAGTTTGAGGTGAGAGACTAACATGTGCATTTTCCTATCAAGCTGAACACTAGCACTTGTTGTTGTGGGAAGTGGCCACATTCAGGAATCCCATACAAACATGTACTAAGGGTGATTTACCACCAGAGGCTACAACCTGCAGACTTTGGTATCCCCTTGTTTCAAAGGGAAGGCATACAAGCTAACTTATGCAGAGCATATGCACCCAATGCTGACCCAAGTCAATGGCCATCATTGAACTTGCCTAACATACTACCACCACTGGTGAAAAGATCTGCAGGAGACCAAAAAAGCAAAGAAGAAGAGGGCCAAATGAAGCAAGGAAAGGGAAGAGGAATTCAACAGTTAAGTGCAGCTTATGCAATGAGTTGGGGCACAACATGTTGACTTGTGCATCAAGGAAAAAAAAAGCCCTACAACTGAAGCAAGCACATCAAACACCTCCTCTTAAGCCAATAAGAAAAAAAGAGAGCAGCATGAATGCATAGCCACTCAGCTTTTTAATGCACAACCAGTTTATCCATGTATTTTTTGAACATTAATAGTGTAGTGTGTGTTGTGCTGTGTTGTCTAGTTTTTTATGACTTATCCTTGTAATTTAAACAGGAAGCAATTTTGTTGGCACATGATTTGAACAGGAAGCTATTATATACTATGCTATAATGATAGTGTATTTAAATGCGCATATGATTTAATTTCCCTCTTTATTAAATTTCATTGCAATTACAATAGTTCACTTCATCATTACAATCACAACTATTACACACATCAGTACCCCTAATTTCATAATACAATCAAGAACTTTTTGCTGCTGCTTGATTTTCTTCTTCAATTGTTTCAATTCTTCATACAAATTACTTTGTCCTGAGCCATCCCTTACATAACAGCTTCCCCTACTCTGACCTTCTTCATGCATCTGAACTTTGCACCATTTGAAGCTATTACATGAATCAAACTTATAATATAGCCTTTGTGGATTAGATGTTGACTCCGAGCATCTAATTGCATATTTTCTACCACAATTGCAAAATTTGTTTGGAACCTTGACATATGCATACTCATGTTTTAAGGAGGATGTGTTTGCTATCAAGCTCATGATTATGCAAAAAGGTCTGCTATGTGTGTTTTAGTGTACTATTTATACAACATTTTGTGTGCAACGGCTAGATTTGCCCAAAAAAATTCAAAAAAGTTCAAACAAACTAGCCGTTACAATGTGTATGTTTAGAGGTATATTATGTAAAATTTACAAAAGTAATGGCATATGGTGAAATATTTAAATTGCTTAATGGCATTTCATGAAATAAGAATTGCAATAACGGACAACTAACGTACAGACCTCATTAATGGAACAAGGTGTCAATGCGCTGTTTGTCAGTGGCATTTGATGAATTTTGAAAAGGTTGATGGCATTTGGTGAATTATTAAAGTGCTTAGTGGCATTCAGTGAAATAGCCATTTTCATAATTATAAAGTCACGACATGCAAATCGAGATTTTTTCGACATACAAAATGGGGCATTTACATTTTTTTTTTTTGCCAATTTCGAGCTTTATTTGTATCCATAAAGGAGAAAAAGGACCCCAAAAACCTTACCTGAGCAATTTTTCCGATTATAAAATAACGACACGCAAATCGAGATAGTACTCGACATGCAAAACGAGGTAATTACGGTTTTTTTTTTTTTTTTTGCCAAATCCAAGCTTAATTTGTTTCTATAAAGGTTTAAAATGAACCCCAAAACCTTACCCGAGCAATTTTCACGGTTTTAAAATAACAACACGCAAATCAAGATATTTTTCGACATGCAAAACGAGGCATTAACGTTATTTTTTTTCCAATTTCAAGTTTAATTTGCATCCTTAAAGGGTCAAAATGACCCCAAAAACCTTGCCCGAGCAATTTTTATCATGAAAATCGAGAAAAAATATTTTTATTTATTAAAATAAATTATTAAAAGAACCAATCATATTATAACACATGTCATCATTAACCGAGCACCGTTTGTCATTAATGGTATTTGGTGAATTTTTACAAAAATCAACAGCATTTGGTGAATTTTGAAAAATGTGATAGCATTTGATGAATTTTTAAAAAGCTCAATGTCATTTGGTGAAATCACCGTTAAATATTTATATCTTTTTAACAAAAACCCAATAACTAATGAATAACGTGGAAACAAAGTAGACTCTATGAAGGTTGGAAGGACCTATGAGATTTATTTTTTCTTTTTTTTTTTTTGTTTCTTTTAATTATACAGAGTACTTCATGGACTGTTTCTACAACGGTTGTTTGAAATATAATTATCATATTATTTCACTAATAAAAAATATGAGAGATCCATTTTTTGACACTATAAAATGGACACCATTAATATTCTAATATCTACAATGCAAATACAATTTTTGAAAATTTTAATAGAACATATAATATAATTCTTATATTTTTTGAGAAACTATAAAATAAGAAAAAAAAAATTACATAAATGAAACTAAAACTTAGATAAATTAAAAAAACTATTGATAATAATATTTTATACAATAAAGCAATGTAATTAATTACTTAGAGAAAAATAAGTAGTCAATTATGAACTATATAATCATTAAAACATTATGGTACTCATATTTCAAAAGACCACTATATAATTTTCTGTACTTCATATATGATTTATGAAATCTCTTTTGCTCCCTTTTCACTAACAATTGGTTCTAGAGTTACAAATTCTAAAAATACTAGTGGCTAAACACGTGCGATGCGCGTACATAGCTAGACATGTTCTGGAATCTCTTTCAATTTGATTTTATGTCACAGCTTTAGTTTTAAAGGGTATAATTGTCCAAATACTATTAATAAGAGTTATCTAAAAATTTTCAAAAGGTTGGGAAGAAAAGGCAAAAAAAAATGTAACACATGTGATTTGCATGCATGCATAAATGGAGGTATATATGTAAAGAGACAATTTAAGGGATATAATTGGCATATCACTATTAATAAGCATTTTGTTAAACTTCTAATAAGGTAGGGAGGTAGGGAAGACCGCCTTATTGTCTTGCCAATATCATCTTGTAAGCCCTTATAGGTTTTTTTTTTTTTTTTTTTTTTTTTTTTTTTTTTTTTTTTTTTTTTTTTTTTGGCAAATGGAAAACAAGACAACTAATTAGCCAAGGCCCTTCCTGGCTGCAACTGCCAGATTGTGGGCCTTAGCCACTACTCTCCTAGGGACTGAACACAAGCAAACATACTCAAGCTGATTACACAAGAGATAATATCCAAAGCAAGGTTCTTGAGTTCCTTTGGTGTTGCTGCTGTGCTTCGAAGGATTTGTACACTAAGCTTAATATCCGTTCTTATCTCAATGTGCGTTGAGTGCTGGATGCCCTCCTGTATCCCTCTTGTTATGGTTAGGAGTTCACACTGTAGCGCACTCCCTTCTGCAACTATTTCGCTTCCTTCTCTTATCATGCTATCCTGCCTTGTGATTACCCAACCAATTGCAGCAGCAGCTGATTACACTGTAAGCCCTTATAGGTGATGGGTGAGGTAAGAGGAGAGAAAAAAGAAAATGAGATAAAGTTATAAACTTGCAGCAACTTGTAAAAGTGATTTATAAAGTGCGTGGTGTTATACGAACATTTCTCTTTCCAAGGTATTACTCCTCAATCCTTATCAAGTTTGTGAGGGCAACTTGCAAAAGTGATTTTTATAATATAGTAGTGTTATACAAATATTAATGACCAAGCTAATTGTTTGACAAGAAACGAAGGACTTCTTTAATAAGAAATAATAATAATAATAATAAAAAAAACCACAAAACAAAACCAAAGTTTATTACTTTATTATATTTATTGAAATTACATGCGAAGTATGCAACATGCACTAAGTGACGCATGTGATTACTTCACTCATCTTCTAGAACCAAGTCAATCAACCCTCCTCTATATATAAAAAGCCATAACAACAAATAATTTCCTATACAAAATTCTAAGATTAAAAAAAATGGCGGGTGAAGAAGTAGTGTTACTTGATTTCTGGAGCAGTTCATATGCAATGAGAGTGAAAGTTGCATTAGCAGAGAAGGGAGTTGAGTATGTTTGTCAACCACAAAATTTGGTTAATAAAAGTTCTTTGCTTCTTGAGATGAATCCGGTTCATAAGAAAATTCCGGTTTTGATCCATAATGGTAAACCCATTTGTGAATCGCTTGTGATTCTTGAGTATATTGACAAGGCTTGGCCTGAATTGTGTCCTTTGCTTCCGAAGGATCCTTACCAACGATCACAAGCTAGATTTTGGGCTGATTTCATTGACAAGAAGGTAACACTCTCTCAATGATCTATTATATACTTCCTCCGTTTTTTAATAATTGTAACACACTTTTTCCCAGTATTTAAAAAAAGTGAGATTTGTATGATTTAATTAATATACTTTATTATAATAGGGTGAGAGGTTGTTCGAAGTATTGTGACATTTCCATTTTAGGAAAGTGTTGCAAATATTAAAAAATAGAAGAAGTATGTCCGCTATTATTTGACATTTTTTTGTGTGAATTATAGTATTTGAATATATCGAAACTTATTTATCTTGACTTATTCTAATATAACGGAACAAATACACATAGTTGTTATTGAATCTTAAATTGTTTGGAAAATGTCAAAAATTTAAAAAAAAATCTTACCATACTTTAAAAAATATTAATTTGGCTAATATACTAATTTCTTATCCAATAACAATTAGTAATTTACATGCTGAATCCGTAGCTTTTTTGTATGAACCATTAGATCATATACTCAGTATGACCGTATAATACTGTATATACTTGTATTTATATCTTAAACAATATCAATTAGGTTAATATGTTTATTTTGCAGATATATGACGGAGCAAAAGTCCTATGGAAGGCAAAAGGTGAAGAGCAGGAAAAAATAAAAAAGGAATACATTGAAAACCTGAAGATATTAGAAGGGGTGCTTAAAAATGAAAAGTTTTTTGGTGGTGATACGTTTGGGTACATTGATGTTGCATTCATTCCCATCACAAGCTGGTTTTACACATTGGAAACATTCGGAAATTTTAGCATCGAGGCTAATTGTCCCAAAATTGTTGCATGGGCTAAAAGATGTAAAGAGAGGCATAGTGTATCTAATTCATTGCCGGATTCCGATGAAGTTTACAACTTTGCCTTAGACATCAAAAAAGCTCTTGGGCTTTAAACCTTACCAAATGCTTAACGTTATATGCATAAGTTTAAAACATGTTTCTGTTCAATAAATTTTACTGTACTTTTTTCTTTCCTTATATTTGTATCATTGTTATAGAGGATATATTCCTTAATGGCATCTTTGGAAATAGGTATTTCATTTTAAATAATGGATTTGGCCCAAATTCTTTTTTGGGAATCCAAATAATTTGAAATTGTATTTGAGCCAATTCCAACATACTTATTAAACCTCTTTACAACCTTGATTTAGAAATGACTTTATTTAACCTTTTATTTCAAATTCCACATTCATCATTTTACCTACTTCCTCGATTTTCACTCCTCGATTGAAGCAGCTTTGGTGCTTCCACTCCTCCATTGTAGCGTACTCTGAAATTTCCATTAAAGCGGCTATGAAGCTTTCACTCCTCCATTGTAGGTACTCTAAACTCTCTATTTAATCGTTTTTGGAGCTTTCTCTCCTTCATTTGAGCGTAACCTAAATTCTCCATTTAAGTGCTTTGGAGCTTTCTCTCGCTCTCCTCCATTGTAGCAGATTGTGAGCTTTCTCTAATTTATCATCTCATTCATTTTCAAACTCGGCAACGATGATGAAGAACAGTATTAAAGTTGAAGGAGATCGAGTAAAATATAGAGGATCAAAATATTCTCCAACTTACATAAAGCAATTCACTTTGATGTTGCTACAAATTCAATTTAGGATCAGAACATATATCAATATGGTTAAATTTTTGGTTTTATTAATGACTTAGTTTTTTATTTTTTTTATTAAGCTACTAAATTCTGAAATTGAAATTCCACAATTTTTTCCAAAATAAAAATTTTGGAATTGAATGTTAGTATTTGAAATTCCAGATTTTAAATCAAGCATTTGAAATTAAATCCTTGTATCCAAACATTACCTAATTGTATTTCGTTTTGTAATTTAATAATACTTGTATGAATGTATGATATGATTTAATTTGAATTTTATTTAGTGATATATCTTACATTCCTTAAATTTCGTTCATCTTGCACAAAGTGGGTCAGAATGCTTTTTTTATGTTTAATATTTACATAATAATCATAGTCTCGTCATAATATATTAGTTATCAAAAAAATATTCTAAGCTTCTAAATACTTATGGTTTTATATCCCTCTCGGAATTTCTCTCGAAAATGCTCTCCACAAAAGAATTCCTTGCTCTAAACCAAAATACAAATGAAGAACAAGATCGACTGCATCGTTCAAATAAAAAACCTAAATGAAAAATCATAAACTGGATTTTGGTGGCAAAAATCAATCAAATAACAAGGATGAAGATGCTGTTATAGATGAAGGAAATATTCAAGAACAGGGTACGATACCAATCCCCAATAACCCTCCCAATCACTACTAGAAAACAAACCATTTTTCGACGGAAAAAAATCAGTCGGAAAGTTGATTTCCGACGAAATTCTGTCGGAATGGTATGTCGCAAAACGTTTTGTAGGAAATTCGCCATTTTCCGAGGGATTTTCCGTTGGAAAACCAAATTCTGACGGAATTATATCTGTCGGTGCGTGGTTTGACTGTAATTGAGAATCCGTTGCAACTTTCCGACGGAATGGATTCCTTTGTAATTTACCTCTTCCGACGGAATATTCCGTTGTAAGCCAATAAGTTTCTAACGAAATTTTCCGTTGTAATTTCTGTATTTTGCAAGGGAATTTAAATCCATCGAAATTTTACGATGTAGTTTTCTGTCGCAATTTTCCAACGGATGTATTTTCCCTCGGAAACTATAGCCTTTACGACAGAATTTTCCACCTGAGAATCCGTCGCAATTTTGCCGACGGATTTTTTTTACGTCGCAGCAGAAGGAATTTCTGACGGATAATACCAACAGAAATTCTGTCGGAATTTCAACTGCTAATTTAACAAATCAATCAAATTTTTTTGGAATTACCACCATTCGAAACCTATATCTCCTGCACCTAATTTACAATAAAATTAAATTAATGATTTAATTACAATTATATACATACATATATATATATATATATATATATATATATATATGATTAGGAGATTTTTCCCCAACCAATCATTGTCTGCCACCTGAACCAATCAGGTCCTGCCATGTGTCCGCCACATGGACCAGCAAGGACTCGACACGTGTCAAGCAACAAACAGTCCAGCATGGACCAATCGCGCCACGCCACGTGTCCTGCTGTCTGCCCACCTGGAGAACGGCCATCAAGGCTCGGTTTCCGAGAAAGGCCCAATCAGCCCTAGGTTAACCTAAATCTAAAATTGGGCATGCATCCCGAGGCTATAAATACAGTAATTAAGCCTCCACTTTCAAATATAGAGAAATAATTACTCACACCTAGAGAAACCAAAACACCTGTGCTTTCTGATTGCTAGACCTGACTTAGCAATTATTTGCACTTTCTGATCACTCCTCCCCTAGAGGAACCAGATCACCTCTTACTTTCCGCACTATTTACTCCTCAAATACGTTCTAACTTGATCGTCGGAGGCGGAGCTCCCACCAACTGGAGTTTCCGTTGTTTTGCAGGTACAGGCGCAAGGATCCCAGTCCCGGAACTGTAACTCTCCCGCAGGACATCAAAAAACCCCGAAACATTTTGGCACCGTCTTTGGGGAGGGTACTTTTAAGATGGAATCACAGTCTGTACCGATTCTAAGTGACAAGCGTCCTATGGACGACCCTCAGGTCTACACTGACCAGGATACAGATAATGATACCGAGGTCGAGACTCGCACGGCCCCTGACGGGACCCTTAGAGCTCAACGCACCCATCCCACCGAAAGGAGGGAACGGGAGGACTGCCTGGCTGGATCTAGTAAACCAGTCGGCCAGCCGCTTGATCATCAACAGGCGGCCGAGGGATCTGCTCCCATCACTAGAGGTGAACTCATGACCTTCATGAATAGCTTCAAAGGGAAGATCCAGAAGCTGATCAATAAGAGGACGCCTGTTCCACCAAAGGAACAGTCGGCCAGAAGACCCTCCCAATCTGGGAGGAAGAAGCTTATAAAGGATTGGGAGGCAAGCCCTTACCCTAAGCCTAGGGAGAGGGGGGCGCCAGTGATCGACCTAACTAAGTATCGCTTTCCCTCACCAAGGAAGAGAAAGCTCATTCGTCATATTCAGCCGGATGGGTCAAAGAGAACATTTTCTGATGCTCGAATGTTGCTTGAGCAGAAGAAGAGTGATCGACTGTCAGAGTCAGCCTACGTCTGATTTTCAGGACAGCCCACACAATACCTCCCTGAGGTATTCAAGATCAAACTATGAGAGCCAGACGCCCGGAGCCTCCTCTCGTTCTGCTTCCCAGAAGCATCAGGCGGCCCCGTATGTCCCTCAACCATACTTCCCGCAGTCCCAATACTTCATGCAGCCTACTCTTTTTGGAGGACAGGCGGCAAGGAATGTCCAGCGTTTGGACTGGCAACTTAGGTTGCTCAAACTTGGAGAACAGCCATCCTCCTTCTCCAAGGAAATAATAGAGGTTGCTCAGCCGACCAAAGTAAAAAATGTGTTGGTAGGGGGCATATGATGGCACTACCAACCCAGAAGATCACATGATGACATACACCAACTTAATGTACCTCCAAGGGTTGGATGATGCCACATGGTGCAAATGTTTCCCGGCCACTTTGAAAGGAGTCGCCCAGCAATGGTTTGGCAACTTGTCGGCCAGGTGTATCAACAATTTTAAGACCCTCGCCTACTTGTTCACTTCAAATTTTGCAATGAACATTCCTGCTAAGAAGACCACCCTTGATCTGGGGGCCGTACAGCAGGGAGAGAAGGAAGGATTGTGCTTCTACATCAAGAGGTTCAATCTGATGAGAATTCAGATACAAGGACTACATGATGAGGTAGCCTATACAAACTTTTTCAAAGGTCTGAAGGACGGGTCAAACTTCAAATTCGACCTTGCAGAAAGAGGGTGACCACCCTCCAAGAAGCAATGATGGAGGCGGACGCTTACATTCAGGCGACTGACCTTTGTAATGTTGGAAAGCAGTCGGACCACAAAAAGTCTGACAAAAGAGAAAGCCAGCCAAAACAATCGGCCAATAGGGAAGAGAAAAAGAGAAAAGAAGTTTGGGCGGTCGACTCCTCTGAACAGCCGTCCTAGAAAAAGAAGAAGGAATTTAAACCATACTCCCCCAAGTATGAGTTTAACAAGGATAGCCATGCTATCCTCGATGAAATCAAAGGTCGGATGTCAATAGAGAAGCCGGCCGCAATGAAGGGTTCTTCCAGCAATCGGAACCAAGATAAATTTTGTCACTATCACGAGGACATTGGTCATGAAACCAATGAATGTATCAGTCTCAAGCGTCTTCTGGACCGCCTGGAAAATAAAGGAGATCTTGACTCTTATGTCAAGAAGTCCAAGGGGAAACCACCCCTCTAACAGAAACAGGTGGCCAACAAGAAGCAACGGACAGGCGACAGCTCTGACATTGATGAAGCGCCCATTTATACTATAGTAGGCGGCTTCGCAGGAGGTGGTCCTACTATCTGGGCCAACAAAGATAACATCAGGCGGCTGGATGTTAACTCCGTCGAGCAAGGACGGACCTCCAAAAGCTCATTTCCTGAGGTTGTAATCACTAAGAAAGACTTGGGAGGTGTTAGGGGGCCGCATGATGACCCCATCGTAATTGAATGCAAAGTGGCCAACCAGAGAGTTGGCCGAATTCTCATAGATACCGGAAGTTCTTCTAATTAAATCAGCAACAAGTGCTTGGCAAAACTCAAGTACAAACCTGACAACATACATCCGGTATCTCACCGTTTAGTGGGGTTTGGAGGAGGCGCTGTACATCCAGTAGGACGGGTGGATCTACCTATCCGTCTGGGTGAGAAAGGGGAGGGCCGTCACATAGTAGTTCATTTCTTGGTAGTCGAGGAGCTCTCGACATACAACATGATCTTAGGGCGACCCACCCTAAACAATTCAAAGGCTGTCATCATACCATCTCTCATTTTCCTCAAGTTTGAGAGGGATGATGGATCAGTCGGCTCCCTAAGGGGAGACTAGAAGATGGCAAGAGAGTGTTACCTCTCAGATATCAAACCCACTGTGGCGGCTGCTAGCCCCAACGGAGAGAAAGCTGACCTTGATCAAATCAAGGATGAGGCGCCTGCTCAAGTAGTAGGTGGCAAGAAGAGAAAGCCCGCCAACCTAGGGGCCGAAAGAAAAGAAAAACGATAGCAATCACTGGTCGAGGAGCTGTCAGA